CTAACAATTGAATACAATAGCACCAGGGTCGGACCCAACTAATTTGTTTTTAGTTAGAAAAAAAAATTATGTAAAAACAAAAATCATGTGTAATTTTTTTTTTTTACGTATTAGCCCGGCCTGTAATTCGGTCATGGATCTATCCCTGGTACAATACAATGGAGAAGAAAAGGAAAATAATATTCTAACTTAAGAAAGAAAAGATATTTCCTAACTTGATTCTAATTATACCATATACTAAAATTACAATCATACCATAATTGATTCGGGATTTCTATATATCTCTAGGTGTTAGAGAGGATGTGTCCCAACCTATTAGTCCCAAATGGTGTGTTTTTCCGAGGTTATGTTTGTTTCAGTGTTTTTTTCCTAAAGGATGAATATTCACTAAGGTGGAGATTGTTGTATGTGTGGCTTATATAGAATAGAACATAGGTTTACTGGATCAAAATGGTCGATGTCGGAGCGGAGCGCACCGAACGGAATGAAGCAGAGTGACGGCATCGGCCTTGTGGGTTTAATTCACTGTTTGTTTGTTAGGGCCGTGGTATGGTACATGTGTANNAGGGCCGTGGTATGGTACATGTGTATTTTTCTTGTACAGGCCCTAAAGTTCTGTATGGGCCTGGGCTAGGGTTAGTATAAATACTAATGATGTAACCCTATTATTCATACTGAATAAAATCTTCACTTCGCTCTTTGTGGACGTTGGCACATTGTCGAACCATTTTAAATATTTATGTTGATTTCTATATTTTACTTCTCTATTATTTTGCGCTTAAAATCTAACAGGATGGTCTAAACTGACTGAACTCCTCAACCAATCAAACCTCTTCCAGTGAGCGGTGGCACACGAATTAAAGTCAAGCAATTTAGCTTGACAAGATGGGGGCAAGCTCATATTGTAAGGCCTGTGTAAAGTAGCCTTCAAGGGCAAATGTCCCAAAGAAAGGCCGAGCTAAACTTTTACCTGTAACACACTACAATACGCTAAATAAAATCTTTCTTTTCTTTACAAAATACCCCAGCAATCAAACACTGTTTTTTTTTTTTAATACTAAATTTCTCTTAAGTTCTATAATTGCCACCTCAGTTTCAGTCATCAACATCATTTATTCTAGTATGGAGGGTAATTGGCCTAGTTTCTGTCCAGATTGGCATATTACTAGGTATAGGACTTCTTGAAGCCTATACAAGTCATTCAATGTCTTGAATTCATTATTAGAGAGAAATATAACAGAATTTCAAGAAATTTGCGTAACTCCACTCAAAACACTTTGTGCTCTTAACTTCTACGTACCCTTCCCATCTATCAACCTTAGAATCTATAGTTCGGCATCACAAAAGCATTTCCATACTTGCAAAGTTCACTAACTAGAACTAGAGTAAGATGCGAAGGTTTCCTACGTCATCTTCTCTGTGGGGTTTTGGTTGATAAGATTGGAAGCATTTTTGTTCTCTGCTAGTTTGGTATGTTTGCTTATATGGTTTTGTCTTTATTGCAGGCTGTTATTGAAGATGTTTCACTAAAACAGAAAATATTTAGTGAAATCGAGAAGGCATGCCCTCCACACTGTATTTTAGCTTCCAACACGTCTACTATTGATCTCAATATAGTAGGAGAAAAGACCAGATCTCAAGATCGGATTGTGGGTGCACATTTTTTCAGGTTATAAAACTTCTCTTGGATGAATTAAGAATTGGATTTCATAAATTTTTGTCATTATCATTAGCTGTTATATAAATGAAAATTTGAAAATAAAACCTTAATACTCTGTTCTCAAACTGGATGTGCAGTTTGACAAGCAGTAGCACTAATTGGAAGTCTTCTAAATTACTTTTTCCTGTTTAATTCTGTCCACTTGGAAATTTAATAAAGAGAATATGTGCGTAAAATAAGGTATTTTCTCTTTGATTTTCATAATTTGTATGAAGAGGATTCTGAAGATCAAACTACACATGAGAATCTTAAAACATTCATATTGAATTGATGAAACATACATGGAAGGAAATAGGTAGAAGAAAATATTTCCATTTTGGGTATTAGAAAGTGAAATGGTTATTCTTTGATGTGATTCTTCATTTCCTTCCAATTTCAAGGTGTGGACAGGATTTAGAATTTTGAATTTAGAAACACTTACATTGCCTTAAATGAAATCCCTGCCTATCTCTACTAGAAAACCGCTTCTTTCTTTTTAGTAACCTTTCCATCCTAGTTGAAATGCATAATTGAGAAACACAACGGTTAGGCTGATAGACACGTGGTCTGATATTCTTGCATGTTTATGCTTATACTGTGGCAATACATGGATGTAATTAATGGAAAGTTTATTTTAGTTACACTGTTTGAGAATGTCAATTTGGAATTGAAAGTTGTTAAATACTGGCAATTAGTTTAGGAGTTCAATAGACAATATATGTCAATTTAACTGCTCACTTGATTTAATTTTTAACAGTCCTGCCCATGTAATGCCTCTCCTGGAGATTGTACGGACAGAGAAGACCTCTCCTCAAGCAATTCTTGACCTAATGGCGGTTGGGAAGACCATAAACAAAGTTCCTGTCGTCGTTGGAAACTGTACTGGCTTCGCTGTTAATAGAACCTTCTTCCCATACTCTCAAGGTGCACATATTTTGGTTAACTTGGGGGTGGACGTGTTCAAAATCGACCGGCTCATAACCGAATTTGGCCTTCCTTTGGGCCCATTCCAGTAATTTCGTTGCCTCTGTATCATAAAGCACGACTTCATGTTCATTGCTTCTGTATCATAACCTCTGTCCTGGTTATTTTGAAATTATTTCTACAGGCTTCAGGATCTAGCAGGATATGGAGTAGCTGTCGCAACAACGAAAGAATTTGCTTCTTACTTTCCTGATCGCACCTTCCACTCTCCATTGGTTGAACTTCTTATGAAAAATGGGAGAAATGGTAATAATGTAATTCACCCTATATTAGTACTAAAGTTTAATCTTCACTTTATACTTATTTCTGCTTATGGTGTTGCAGGTAAAAATAATGGAAAAGGATACTATATTTATGAGAAAGGAAGCAAGCCAAAACCTGATCCTTTGGTATTACCAATAGTAGAGGAATCTAGGAGGCTCACCAATATAATGCCCAGTGGAAAGGTATACAACAGACTCGATGACACCACTTGACATGTCTATCATCCATGTGTTAAATATTGTATTGGGCTGTTAAGTCCCACACGCACATTTAAAGATATCGTTTACTGATCTCTGCTGGAAATTTCTATGCAGCCTATTACTGTCACTGACCAGGAAATTGTCGAGATGATATTTTTTCCTGTGGTGAACGAGGCATGTCGTGTTTTGGATGAGGGCATTGTAGTCCAAGCATCTGATCTTGATGTTGCATCTGTTCTAGGCATGAGTTTCCCTTCTTATAGGTGAGTGACTCCATGATAATCCATTGCCTGAAATATTTAAATATTACTACAGAAACCCAGTTTCTCCGCATTTTCCTGGACTCTTTCAAATTACTTAATCGTGCATTGTCTTGTCATTGTCTCCATGATAATTCTTTGAGATATTACTAGTATAAACATGTTATGGAGCATGTATGAATTCAGTTTTATGTCTAGCATTTTTTATTTTTTTTGTATCTGCACACAGGCACAAATACTGGAGAGAAGAAAATTAAACATGAAAAATGAAATCCAGAAGTTGACTAGGTATAATATGGAAAATAAATTAACTAGAAAAACACAAAAGATTAGACTGCTGGAAGGGAAAGGGAACCGGGTCAGGAGGTGAGAGAGGCTGGGACTTGAACAGTTTATGTATTAAACATTGTTTTGCTGAATATTCATGTGATGTATGTATTTCGAAGTTGCCAAATATTCATATGACCATTTGTACCATTTCTTTTTGAGTGTATGAATGATTCCTATGAAAAATCTCATAAACTATTTTTATATTAAAAGCCCTCTGAGGTAGTATGTCTTTGTGGCAGAGGTGGTATTGTTTTCTGGGCAGACACCATTGGGGCTGACCATGTATATCAAAATCTCAAGAAGTGGTCACAAATATATGGTAACTTCTATAAACCGTCGTCGTTTTTAGAAGAAAGAGCATTGAGAGGCATTCCATTAGTAAGTACCTTATTATTACAGCATTATACTTATCCATCAGTAATCTACTGGTTTAATTATGTAGTTCTTTAATACCTTTTTTCTTCATGCATATGACTGAATTTTTATTCCCAGTAATCTACTGGTTTAATTATGCAGTTCTTTAATACCTTTTTTCTTCATGCATATGACTGAATTTTTATCGAAGAATTATGACGTTCAAGTAGATTAACACTTAATGAAATTTAATTTTCTTAAATATCTCTTAAATATTAAAAATGTTGAAGTAAGAACAGACTTTGGGGATTGTTGTTAAAAACATTTTAAAATTGTCTTAATATTTATATACAGTATTGAGTTAATTTGAAGATTTATGCTTCATTCTCTATGCTTTTGGACTTGAGCTTGCTTTTAGCCCCTGGCACTGTACAAGACAATATGTTCTGAGAGAGTAAACACCTGAAACAGTACAATTATTAAAAACCTGTTTGATGCGAAAGAATGTCAATTGAGCTATACTAAATCAAAGATGCATAAATGTACCCTTGTATGTTTTCTGTTGACTAGAGTGATGTCATCCTAGTAGAACTGCTTAGAAGAAAGAGACGAAGACCAAAAGTAACAGTTTCTTGGCGTGAAAGCTAAAGATTTGATTGTATTGGTCAATCAGTAAATGTAGTGATGGACAGAAATGAGGATGAAAAGGACTTTATACTACGAAGCCCAAATTTATTGGAAAGAGTTTATTAGTTGTTAAAGCAAAAACCCAATGAGCAGACTATAAAAGACAAAAGTAAAAGTTTAGTTTTTTTGTGGAAAAGAGGGTAAATGAGAGAAGGAATGAAGCATTCTTTAACTCAAAGCTATCTAAGACGTACTCATGGTCCAAACTTTGATCAAAGCTGCCACATGTAACCAAGTTGCTAGGCTTGTTGTTGGACAGGTCCGTGTGTGTACGCACAAGTCTGTGTTTGACTGTTGTACACCCACATGATTAAGGTTTAGCTATGCTGATTCACGGTCTCTTGTTTTTCTACAGAGCGCACCAGCTTCAACACCTTCAGCATCAAGGTCACGCATGTAGGCAGTACATATCCAAAGGTTTAGCTCAAATATTGAGGGTAAAATAAATCTCTGTACCATTTGCCAAACTAAGTGAATAAGACTTCCAGTAGCACTGGCAATATTATAAACACTTGAATAAACACAAATCTCTCTCTCTCAAAATCCATTTGTCTCAAAGATATGATTCGACTTTGTTCACTTTTAAGATGAAATATGATACAAGCTTCTATGAATTAATTAAAATTGCATGTTTGGTACAAGATAGCCCGGGTAAATGAACCCCCCCCCCCCCCCC